CAATTCTTTAGACATAAAGAGACTTGGCCGTGAAATAGATTCGGAATTGCCAATGTTATGTGCTAGTTGAAGATTGTCAGCGATGCAAACTCGCTATAATTTTATGTACTCAACTTTGTTCTTTCTACAGGTGTCCATCATATCCTCGCGACTTACAAGTGCAGCCACTAACGATGCTTGAATTGCAGGTTTGGTACACATCCTCTAAAGCTATTGCAATAGGGAAGTTGCTCTCTCCACTCCTTTATATAAACTCCTGCATTTTCTAAGTTGCTTGGGTAGTGTGCGTAGATGCAGATTCCACGACGTCATGCCCGTCTGTGGAACGGGGCTCCCGACTCTTCCACCATACAATTCTGACCGGTTCTTGTCGAAACCGTTGGTAAAAGGCAGAACCTAAGHWGTACCTTTTTGTATGGTTATAGTACAGTACTTTTCATGGAATTTATGTGACTGAATAAGCAGATAGAAAAATGATATACAGTTGCACTATGAACACCTTACCTCTGGTTTTTCTAGAATAGTGACCCGATTCTTCGATCGGATAAACTTACCGAACCAAAACCGTTATGAATGGTTTGGTCTGCAAGGATCTGTTGGGAAGACCCGATCCGTTGAAAGCCCTAGTTCTAGAATAAGGTACGTGTGAAGACACGTACGATATCGACATCGGTTTTTCCTTTTCTTCCCCACTCGGAACTACTTATCTTGGTAAAGAGATTTGCAACCCCTAGTCAATGTTCAAGGATTGGCTATTGCAAGGAATGATTCTAATGTAATATGTTGATTTTGTAATGACACATCTTAATGAGTGCTTCAAAAGCAATGTCGATCATGCCACTACAAGCACATTACTTGTATTATACATAAAAATTGACATTTTAAGTGTACAATATGAAAGAATGAGAAGAATATTAACAATATGTCACAAATAATTAATAAAGTGAACGATTTTCGGTCCGAATCGGTTTGGGACTGTTGAGAGCAAGAACCGGCCCGATTCACTAGTCGGATAAACTTACTGAACCAGAACCGTTATTAATGTTTCGGTTTGCGAGGACCTGTTGGGAAGACCCGACCCGTTGATAGCCCTAGTTCAAGAATAAATTACGGGTGAAGACCCGTACGACATCAATACCGGCATTTCCTTTCCTTCCCCACTCGGATCTACTTATCTTGGCAAGGAGATATGCAGCCCCTAGTCAATATTCAAGGTTTGGATTTTGCAAGGAATGATTTTAACGTGGGATGTTGATTTTGGACTGGCACGACTTAATAAGGCTTCAAAAGCAATGTCGATCGTGCCACAACAGGCACATTATTTGGAGCTCCTGTTGAAAGCCAAGGAATCAAGAGTAACTGCGACCATGTAAGTCCTCGCATTCCTTTTACATGCAAAAGTTTTCTTAGATTCAGAAATTTAATTTTGGTAATCGGTATTGTAGGGTTTTTTCTTTTCTTGTTTTATAAAACTGTTCTTGGTTATCTCCAGGAATTGGCACTTCTACGAGATTGTGTGGCAGATACGATTCAAGTGTCCAGGAATTGGCACTTCTACGAGATTATGTGGCAGATACGATTCAAGTGTACAAAGTGGAGCACCAATGGGCCCAGACAAAGCACGCAGAGTAAGCCACTATAACATGCATCTCCCATTTTGTTTTCTAGAGTTGTTTGTTTTTCTCCATTTCTTACTCGATATTCTTGGACAGGTCAATGCTTTAGACACACAAAGACTTGGCCGTGAATAGATTTGGAATAGCCAATGTTATGTGCTAGTTGAAGATTGTTAGCGATGCAAACTCACTATAATTTTATGTACTCAACTTTGTTCTTTCTGCAAGTGTCCATCATATCCTCGGGACTTACAAGTGCAGCCACCAACGATGCTTGAATTGCAGGTTTGGTACGCAACCACTCAAGCTATTGCAATAAAGAAGTTGCTCTCTCTATTCCTTTATATAAGCTCCTGCATTTTCTAATTTGTTTGGGTAATGTGCATAGATGCAGATTCCATGACGTCATGCTCGTTCCTGGAATGGGGCTCCCGAAGGAGACTTAGCCATTATATAGATTGGGAAGAGTCAATGGTATGTGCTAGTTGAAGAATGTCGGCAATGGAAACTTGCTATCATTGTTTGGACTCAATGTTTGTTGTTTCTGCAGGCAGCCATCATGTTCTCGGGACTTAAAATTGCAGCCGCCAACGATGCTTGAATTGCAAGCTTGGTACGCAACCTCTCAAGCTATTACTATAAATAAGTTGCTCTCTA